ACTCTTTCTCGAATTCACTCAAATCGAATTCAATATCTTCTTCAGACACGTCCATTTTAACATGTTTAGGATCAATGTCTTCAGCAACATCGACCATGCCTATAAAAGCCGAATTTGTTAATCGGACATCATCAGTAATGTCTGTTTGGGATTCGAGGTATCCAACTTGAGCCTCGAATGGACTCGTGTCAACTTTCATTGTCATTTCCTCGAACTTCAGCCTTCCTTGGTCGATCGCATCTTGGATCGTGTTCCTGAAATGTATGCAATTGTTAGTCCAATGTCCATAAACATTATGAAATTTACAATATTTTCGACCATTCCTTTGTCCTGCAGAAGGCAGTTTATGATCATCACTTAATTTAATCTGTTTATCTTTCAGTAAGATATCGAAAATTTTATCGGCTTTTGTCACATCGAAAGTATATGTTCGATTTGCCATCTTATCTTTTACTTCATTCTTTTGTAGCATTTTACAGATATACGGAGCTCCTACTCTAAGCTCTGCTATGTTTACTTTCTCATCGACAGTTTCTTCCACATCATTCTCTGTCGTGGGATCTGTTTCATACACATCATTTACATATGCAATTCTTTCTTTCTTCATTGGTTTCTCAAATTTCCTATATCTTTGTTTTTCATATTCGATTTGTTCTACTCTTCTAACTTTATCAGCTAACTGAGCCATATCATTCAATGGTAAATTGACTAACTTTTTCCTAATCGAGAATTCTAAACCTGCAGAGGCCATTCTGACTAATTCATATTCAGGAATTTGAGTAAAGCATCTCGATTTCATTTGTCTAAATCGATTCAAATAATCATCTATGCTTTCATTATTGTATCTCTTTATGTTCATCAAGTCGATGAGACTTACTTGAGTTTCTCCTCTAAAGAATTGTTCATGAAAATTTCTCTCTAACTGCAACCAATTATATATCGAATTGGGAGGTAACGAAGTGAACCAAGTAAAAGCATTCTTAGTTAAAGAACTAGGAAAATATTTCATCTTTAATTCTTCACTCATCGCTAAATCCCCGCATTCAATCTGATATCGAGCCACATGCTCGATTGTCGATTCACCAACTTCTCCAGCAAATTTAGTGAATTTGGGTACTTTATATCCTCGAGGCAATTCTGTTTCGAGAATCGCATTCGGAAAGGGAGACACAAAATATGTCTGATTGGGTGGTCTAAATTCCATCCCTTGTAAATTCATTCTTTGTCCTAACATGTGATTGTTTTGCATGTTATTTTGATTATGTATATTTTGAAATCCTTCGTTCACATTTCCATAAATGTCATTCCTCACATGTTGGTACTCATTTCCCATTTGTTGATCATTGTTTCGATTTCTTCTCAATAAATATGGGGGATTCATGTTAGCATTTTGGTTAACATGATTTTCTACCCTTGTCTGTCGAGGTATTGCCAATGCATCCCCGATACGTGACATTTGATCTGCTAATATCTCGAAACTAGCAGTAGTGTTTTGGACTAATGGATTTAAGACTGTAGTCAACTGTTGTGATAACATATTCACCATCTCAAAATTACTTTCATCCATTTGTTGTCTAAGTATCCCTAATGAGTTACTGGATATCCCAGTACCAGTATTTTCGATAGTATCAAAATTAGATCGATGATAATCCCTATCGAACGCATATCTCCCATGATCTAAGTTTCCCCTCTGATCTAGATTTGGGGGTATCTGTTGTGTGCCTACATTCTGTCCACTCCCTGAATTATGGGGGATTGTTAGGTTTTGAGATACCCCTAAATTTGGAGAGACTCCAAAATTTTGCGGCATTCCTAAATTATATCTCGGAATTCTATGTACCGATGAAGTACCAGTCCCATTCAAATTATTGAGCGAAAACCCAGGCGGTCTTACACTCGCATATGGCCCTGCATATGTTGTTGTAAGGTTTCCCATAGTTTGCGTACTGTTTAGTACCGCCGTACTAGATCCTACTTGGGTATTTGCTAAAGTGCCTGAATTTTGTTCATTACTCATAGGTATCGACATAGTTGTCGATATTACAGGCATACTCCCATTGTGCCCTTGCCCCCCAGTGTTTGGCGGAGGTGCACTATTTAGACCCTCATTATTGTTCTGGTTATTTGATGAACTCTGACTCATTCTTACAACTCTCCCACTCCTTAATCTCATACACTTTCGAACTAACCAATTTTGTGTTTCTCAACACAAGACTCCCCCTACCTGGCGCGCCATTTTGTTTCTGGTGGAATTTCGATCGATTTTGATTCTAAGGATATTTTGGTCTTTAATCGAAATCCTACCACGTAAGTTCTTTTTACTTAGGCTAGCAATTAGATTTTCAATCGAATACACGTATGAGAATCGAAAATTACAGAATATCGAAAATGCTGTTTTTGGTATTTTGGATTTAAAGTATCGAAAGTAGTAAAAGTATCGAATCAAGAAACAATGTTAAATCGCAAGAAAATGTAAAGTGCAAAAACCCCAAATTTTCCTTAATTGTAAAATGACAAAAATCGAGAACAGTATGACTATAAATGACAAGAAATCGAAATTGCATAAAGTAAATAACCCCAGAAATCGAAATGTGCGGCAACGTAAATGACCAGGAAATTAAACAATGAATAATGTAAAAGGCAATTAAATCGAAAATGCAAGTAAAAAGACCGGAAATCGAAATTGCATTAATGTAAAAGACCCAGAGAATTCAAATACAAACTTAAATTGCATGAATCGAAATGACAAGGAATCGAAAATACAGAAACATAAAATTGCTGAATTTAAGTTGCATCAAAATAAATTACCAAGGAAAATACAGAAAACGGTAAATGTACTCAGTGAGCAGGGAAATCCAGATTGCCAGAAGCTTCATGGTGTTTGTCGTTTCTCCGGTAGACTTTTCACTACTAATTCTGTTCTCTGCCAATTTCTGCTCCCTCTTCCTTCCTCCTTTGCTTTATTTATAGGACCTCTTTTAAGCCTTCCAGGAACAGTTAATAAGACTGCTACCACGTTCTTTCGTGTATGACGGTTTCTTTTTCTACAGTTGCCCACGTTCTCACGATCCTCAACTCCTTCCATGGTCCCAGAACTGCTTTCTATACGTGCGTTTGACTTATTCTTCTGTGGTTTGTCCAGGGTTTCGATGTCCGCATTGGTTTCCTTTACTCCCGATTATATGTTTTTCGAGAACTTCGAATTGCTTACGATTCCTTTTTAACCTTGGTCTCATGACTTAGTTTTTTGTTTGACAACAGGTATTTGGTTAATATTCACTCGATTTTCGATTATACTTCTCGATACTATATGCTACGTTCTTCCAATTAGACCTCGATTGAATCTTATCGAGTTACATTCCTTTTCTTCATTTTCGATTGCTTTTCTCGATTTGCCACTAACAAAATGTTAACATTTTTTTTAGAGTGAAAACAAAACAGAGTTTTGTTGAAATTAAATATATATAGGAGAAAGTTATTTTTATTCAGTTTTCATTTTGTAAAATTCAACAATTTTTTTGTAAAATTAAAATCAATTATTTATTTTTTTAGTCTAATGTGATGTTTAATGATTAAATCATATTTTATTAAATTAATTTATATATATATATATATATATATATATATATATATATATTCAATCTAAGAATTTTAAAAATATTTTATGACACAAAAAACATAATTTAACTAGTTTAAAATTTTAAACATTTATAGAAAAACAAAAAGACTTTTTCACTGTTTTCTGGTGGTTCATAACATGTCAGACCGATCCGTTTCTATTATACATGTTCTTCTTTCATTTCTATCCTTCCGATTTCTTTCTTTCTTTCTTATTTTATTTTTAATCTAAACAAAATACATGTTAATAAAAATATCATTTTTTTTATTTAATAATTCAGGCATGATTTAATCATGGCAAAATTTAATGCACTTCTATAAATATATTATGAATCAAATATCCAATATCAAGAACGGAATTATATTGAAGCACAAATAATTTTTAACATTTAAAAGATATTGAAATATTAATGAAACATATTGTCTATTGAGATAATAATATTTTTACATTTAAAAATAGTAAAGTTAGTTTTAATTCATGAAAAACTCATTAAATTTATTTTTTTCAATATTTATGAAGATGTTTATCTAAACACACCTTAATAAAAACAATAAAAACATTGGAGGACTGTTTTATTTAATGAGTGTGAGACTGTTTTATTTAAAACAACTCACATAATTTACCGTGGCAGGGTGTGAGACTGTTTTATTGTTTGCACCACCTTTTTCGATGCAGTTGACTGGAAAACAAGCTCAGAGGGTGGATTGGTTTTAATGTGTGATTGAATATTATTTTACTAAAGTTCAATATAGGTTTGTATGTGTTTTAGCTTAAGAAAATAAAGGTTAAACGTGAACGAATACTCGGAATGTAACCAGTATTTGTTATATGTGATTTAAAATAATTTAAAATGTTTGTTATAAAATGAAAAATAAAACTTTCTTATGGGGGAAAAACAAGTATACATTGTCACATCCTCTCTTTCAAATCGTTTTCTTGCTGATGTTACACATATATAATTTAAATTCCGCCACATTCTCAACTTAACCCCCTGAAAAAAGTTATTAAATCCTCTCTTAAAAGGTAAACCTTGCTATCAAAACTCATACATTAGATAGACTAAAAAGATATTTAAAGCTGAACCAAATTAAGAATCTGCTACACATGTAAGAACTAAATTATATGGTTAATTTAATTGTAACAAATGAAATAGGGTAACAAAAATGACTGAAACGAACAGTGTATCATTCATCCGGTATTACTCCATATAAAGCAAAAGACCAAAAACAACCATAATTTCTCGAAACATTTCTAGTTTTAACAAATACCTTGGAAACTATGAAAGCTGGCATCAAAACGAATCTGGTACTAAATATTGGAATGCAGCCTCAGTGGCAGGCATCTAAACCTTAAGCTTTCAATACAAGTAACCAATTCTAACCTAAACTTTGATGGCATACTTTCTTAATGGAAAGTACAGCTCCTTCTTCTTCTCCCGTTCTGTCTTCAATGATGCCTGCACAAACCGAGAGGATGCTGGTAAGACAAAGCACAATTGAATAACACCAAACCCTCGGTTAGAAGTGGAAGCAAATCCAGAACAGATAAACTATAAAATAGTTTTTGTAAAAATTCATCATTTTCTGAGGCCTCAAATATCCTATCTTAACTGCTATTTTTATGAGACCAAAAAATTGAGACTGCTTCTTAATACCAAGCAATTTAATTTATTGATAAGAAATCATACAATCCTACTGAAACCAAGTAGAGACTATTAAGGAATATTAAGGGCAGATGACACCAGAACTCAAACTCAACAGTATTGGTTAAGTTGGAATACGATCCACATGTTCCACCGTAATAATATTTTAATTTAATAATAACATAAAAACCAAAAATTTAAATTATACCTTAAAAACAATGAACAAATTAAACAAAAGACCTTTTTGAAAAATGGAAAACAATTAAACCTGGTGTTTGGTAAGGCGTCTGCGAATGGCTCGGGTCTTCTTGGGACGGAGGTCAAGGGGCAAATACTTCTTCTTCTTGTAAGCCTCTCTGAGAGCCGCTTTCTGCTTTTGGGAAATAACGGTCAACACCTGCGCTATGGAAAGTCTCACCACCTTGCTGCAAAATAAACACAAAACGCCGTTCACAAAACGCGGTTCCAACAAACATACTAATCACTACACACACTCAGAACAAGTTCGAAGAGTACATTTTGGAAAGCTTGTTAGGGGCGCCTCCAGTGACCTTGGCCACTCGGAGAAGAGCGAGCTCCGCCTTCAGATCCTTCAACTGGTTCAGCAGCTCCGCTTTCGTCTTGTTCCTCAGCTCGTACACCTTTATCCTCGCTTCAATGCCGAATAAAGAAATAATTCAGATCACATGTGAAAAAATGGCACGAATTTGAATCTTTGTCACAATGAATTACTTCGTCTTACCCATTTCGTAGATCGACCGCAGCTCTGCAACCACTCCGAAACCCTAATGTCGGAGGCACAACGATAACGATGATTCCTTATATACAATCGGGAAGCTCATTCTTTTTATTTTAATTGGGCTCTGCTTTTGTTTCGCGTATTTGGAGAACTAGTGGCCGGTAAGTGTTGGGCTTGAAGTATCTATCCTATTGGGTTTGTGGGTTCTCCATCCTTTGGGCCTGACTTATGTGTTTAATTTATTATAATATTATATAAAAAATAATAAAGTTAAATGAACTAGTAATTATAAAAAAAAAAAACAATTAAACACTAATAATTGAAAAATAGAAAAGTGTGCGTGTGTGTGTTTTTATGTATTGAAATATAAGTTATACCCTCTGGGTTCTGCATTATATGCCTCTTTGTTTTCATTTCTCTATTGAAATATTCTTTCTTTGAGAAAATTATAATAAAATAAATTATTTTTGATATGTAATATAGAAAAATTTAAACCATTAACTTGTAATAAAATATTAAAAAAAAAGGAAGTGAATAGTTAAGAAAACAAAAACAAGAGATCCACGGAAGAAGACAGAAGAATAAGCTTAATATAAATACCGTCAGAAAAAAAAATTACGGTCAGAGAGACATTCACGTAAGAGTGATCTATAGAAAAAGTGGCATCCATGGCGGGGGCAGAGTACCTTCAATTCCACGCTTTCTGATGAGTGTTAGTGTTCGTGTTCCTTCCCTATAACAACAATCACCGCACACACTCTGCATTCATTTCTTCCATTTGTACTGTGCATCACAAAAGGAAAAAAGGTCGTAAGAAAAGAAGGAAAGTATCTATCTCGCAGTAACCGAAAACATTCGTTGGTTAAAAGCACGCGGTTGCGTTGCGTTTTGTTTTTAACCTCAGGATGAAACAACTCCACAAGCAACCAAGTCTGAATCACCGTAGGGAGGAAGAGATGACGAGCAGCGAGGCCTCACCGTACTCCCCCAAATCCATCAAACACACCAGATCCCTCCCCAGATCCATCAACTATCTCCTCAGAGAGCAGCGTCTTTTGTTCATCCTCGTCGGGATTCTCATCGGCTCTACTTTTTTTATCATCCAGCCCACGCTCTCCCGCATAGGCCCACCCGAGACCCGGACCTTCCTCCCCCGCTCTAACCTCAATCGACTCGCCGGCTCCCGCACCGGCCGGATCCCCGTCGGGATCACCGGCCGAAGGCAGCGGATCGTTGTCACCGGCGGCGCGGGCTTCGTCGGGAGCCATCTCGTCGATAAGCTCATCGCGCGTGGCGACGACGTCATCGTCATTGACAATTTCTTCACCGGGAGAAAGGAGAACCTGGTGCACCTCTTCGGCAACCCTAGGTTCGAGCTCATTCGCCACGACGTCGTTGAACCGATTCTCCTCGAGGTGGATCAGATCTACCACCTCGCTTGTCCCGCCTCGCCGGTTCATTACAAGTACAACCCCGTCAAGACCATCATATCCTTCTTATTTCTAACTCACTCCCGTTTTTTCAACTCTATTTTAAATATTGCTTGGTTTGAATCTTGTGATCCTTAATTGTTGGTTTACAAGACGAATGTGATGGGAACGCTTAATATGTTGGGCCTTGCGAAGAGAATTGGGGCTAGGTTTCTGCTTACTAGCACCAGTGAGGTCTACGGTGATCCGCTGGAACATCCTCAGAAGGAGACTTACTGGGGAAATGTCAATCCAATAGGTGAGTGAGTGAATACACCAAGTTTTTATGTTTTACACATATAAATTTTCATTTTTGTGATTTGGTTTGTTGAGATTCTGGTTTCGCGATTTTAGGTGAGAGGAGTTGTTACGATGAAGGGAAGCGGACTGCGGAGACGTTGACCATGGATTACCATCGAGGTGCTGGCGTAGAGGTAGGTTATGTGTTTGTTGAATTGATTGAAGCTAGTTTTGATTGTTTATCTTGATGTATTATTCTATGTTCTTGGATGATAAGTTAGTGTAAAGTTATTATATTTGTTTTGTATGATCTGTTGTTTTAACTTGAGAACTGATCACATGTTTATTTCCCTTGCTCTTTTTTTTTAATTTTTTTATTTTTTTATTTAAATTAAGTTTACTTGTGATCTTAAATTATTTTGATTGGTTTTACTATTATTTCACACTGGAAATTGAAGCATACTGTAGTTTCTTTCCCTGGCATTACTGATCATATTATTGTCAGTACCCATTTCTAACCAGAAGTGTAACATGCACTCCTCGATAAGTTGCTAAAAGCTGAAGATTCGGTTTCCATCTCTTATCAGATAAAAGTTGACTGTCTGAATGTTTACAAAGAAATCCTCTTCTAATTTCATTCATACAGGAAGAATTAATCAAACTTGTGGACCATTATTATAGAAATGAAGATTGAGGACAGTCTCTTTTTTTGCTGATAAATAATTAGTGAAGTTCCTAGAATAAATGAATAAATTGATTTTTTATCTTTGTTGAGAATTTATTTTGCCAAAATTAAACATATATAATTTTATATCTTGCTGGAAATTACAAAACTTCCATGAGAAAGAAAAAAAAAAGGTTCTTCCTATAGGATATGAGCTAGTTAATACATAACCCACTTTGCTAATGTTATATTCTGATTAAAAATCTGAATTTGGTATTTGCTGCTACATTTTTCAACAGAATACCTATATGGTTTGGGTCATGCATGCTTTGCTTAAACAGCTCTTACTTTGAATTTTTGTTGTGACCTTTATTACCTATGTTTTTTTAGAACTCATCGAAATCAGCTGTAATTAATTTTTACGTTGCAGTGGTATATCCTGAATGTTCTTTCAACTAGACTTGTCAAATTTTAATTTTGGGTATAAACCAGAGCTGTTAGCCTAAGTTTGACAGGAAGATATGATGCTATGGCATCATTTTTACGTTCTACAGTAAACCAGGACAGGCTAAAGGATACAATATGAAGCTCTGTAGCTCAGTAGAGCAGTAGCTGCCTGCTATAGGAAACTCATAGTATAGCATCTTTGCATTGCACAAATTGTGCCCAAATTTGCAGCTGAATAGGAGCGAACCAAATAGTGGACGATAGCACGACTATCCCATCTCCCGGTCTAAACCTGAGATATTTATGTTTATGGGTAAGCAAGTTCTTAAAAAATAAGGGATATCATTAAATTGTTTTCAAACGGCAACTTCTAATTGAAAAAGCCATACCTTATATACAACTTATCCTTATTTGTAATTTTTAAAAAAAAGAAGTTGTCATTTGGGTCAATTTTAAAAAAACTTTACCCAAAAATGTAAAATCCCTCTAAATCTTTTTCTGCTAAACTCTCCCACTTTTGCCTAACTCTCCCTTATCTGGCCAATCTCTCACTCCAAACTCTGTTTTGCTGTTCTAAATACAGAGTAGCCATAACAGGCCTCAGCTACTGCAACATAACTTCTTGGCATATACAATATGTCTTTATTTTAAACGTAGTGTGTTTTTCACTGTCACAGCTCTTTTTTCCTATAAATTCCATCCTCTTCCTTTTTTCTTTTAACTCTATTCCTTTCTCTCATTGTTAATTATAGCTCTATCTAGTTGTAAATGTGTGTTCGGCTGTGACTTTTTTATTATAGAGTAATATTTGCATGATATTTTTTTTCCATTTTCTATACCCATTTTTCTTTTCTTTCAGTCTCTCCACTGCATCATATATTGTATTGCACTTCTCTCTCTTTTCTTCCTCTTTCTCCCTCTATGCTTGAAATTGTTTCAAACTTTGATGTAAACATAACGTTACTCGTAATTATAAATTATGAATTTATCTTGAACCTTGGATAGTTCGCTATGTTTAAACATTTATTTGTGTAAGGTATATAGATTATAAGTTATTTATCTTGTATTTATAATCTTTATTATAATGACCATCCCACTATTTGCTATCCTGCTATAGTGGTTTTGGGATCAGTTTCTTTGTGCAACTATTTTGGAATGATTACTATAACACAAATATGAATTTAATACTAGCTCGTGATTTGTTTAATTGTTTACTTTTCTGCACTACTTTCTCAATAATAGCTATGTAATAAAACAAACCTATTTAATTTTAGTCTATTGATCACTTGTTGTATATATGTTGAATTTGAAAGACTTTTAATTCAATGCCTGATTTTATATGCGTAACAAATTCTCCATTCAGAGAAAAATTAATATTTAATCCTACGTTAGTGAAATTTAAACTTCCTATGGTAAATGCTGCAAATTACATGTTATTGAGACTGATTTGGTTTTATTTTTTTATAGGTTCGCATTGCTCGAATTTTCAACACATATGGACCCCGGATGTGTTTAGATGATGGGCGTGTCGTTAGCAATTTTGTTGCACAGGTTTGACTTTCTTGTCCTTACTTTCTAATTATTCTGGAGAGGTTATTTTCTTATACTATTTATTTATTTATTTATTTATGCAGGCAATTCGTAAGCAACCATTGACTGTATATGGTGATGGGAAGCAAACAAGAAGTTTCCAATATGTCTCTGATTTGGTATATAACCACATATCTTTCGTTTTTCTTTTTCAAATGTATATGTCATTGAATCCTTCATCTTGTACTATAAACAGATTTTAAATAATGAGATGAGATATAACAGCTTAAAACACTCAATGTAACTCCATGTTTTCTAAGAAACTCAACTAGCTTGTTCAACCTGATTTTCTTAAATGAGATTTTTTTTTGCTTGGGTGAAATCCAATATCATTCATCTAGTAATGGACTTTTGGAGTTACTGAGAGGATACTTAAAACAGAGAGAAACAGCTGATTTGGAAGGTTAAATGAAATTATTGGCCATTACTTGTAATTCGACTGACCTATTTAGGGAATGTATTTTTTGCTATTGATTTAGAATTTAAGATTTAGAATTGGACAAGTTTGAATTTAAGAATGAAAGATTTGTTATGCCTACATTTTAGCTATGAATTGGTGAGGAATTGTCATGATGCAATGGTGACTAAATTTCTTTTCTAATCCCCAGGTTAATGGGCTGGTGGCTTTAATGGAAGGTGAACACGTGGGACCTTTTAACCTGGGTAACCCAGGGGAGTTTACCATGTTAGAGCTTGCAGAGGTATGTTAAGTGTTCTTTTCTTCTCTTATTTTCATTTCTTCCTGGTTATGCCTTTTCCTTATTTCTATTAGAATATGGTGTGGTGCATCTGTATTTTAGTTTTATTCATTCCTTAATCAATAACCTAAGATAACAAATTAGTTGGGCCCTTTACAGTAAAGGCACACTTTTGTTGAGTGGAGTGAGATTGAAGTTACTTTATCATGGATATCCTATCATTTTCATCTTTTTATAAACACGCAGGTTGTCAAAGAAACAATTGATTCTAGTGCTACAATAGAATACAAACCAAACACCGCTGATGATCCACACATGAGGAAGCCAGATATTAGCAAAGCGAAGGAACTGCTAAACTGGGAGCCAAAAATCCCATTGAGAGAAGGGTTGCCTCTTATGGTTAATGATTTCCGAAATCGGATTCTGAATGAAGACGAAGGTAAAGGGATGAAATAAGAACAATAGCAAACCCTGTATGTATACGGAGATGAGCATGTCTCGCCATTTTTTGTTCACATGAGCGGTCAGCGTCAACAGAAAAATTCTGGTAGCACGTCACTTTTGTAAGAATATATCTCTACTGCCCTTCTTCATTTAATCATTTATGCAAATTGATATATTTTTTAAATTTTGAAAGATTTTTTTTTAGTTTCTTGTCTATTGTATCGATAAAAGTTGTAGTATTTGATATTTGGATTCTGGTCTCATGAGAATTTGTTTTAAAAGAAAATTGTGAATCTTCTCTCTTTTTCTGCTCTTAATACCACCGCTTCACTTTATGAAAACTGACTAATTTACTTTTAGATGTTTAAAATCAACACTAAAAGGTATCAACTGATGTTAATCATGTTTCGTTAGCTTTTCTACCATAGACAGTCACGACAACTATATATTCCCATTTACCTCAAACATTTAATCATTTATGCTTGTTTAAAACACAATTGAAATATTTTGTTTTGTAATAATAGGGTAAATTATCAATTTAGTCTGTATGGGTAAACAAAATTAACATTTTAATTCTTATACTTAAAAGTTTATCATTTCTATTATATATGCATGTGCGTGTGTTTTATTTTTAATCTCTTGTGTGGGTTAATAATTAATCTATATAAATAAAAAAATACTTTAGTTCGGATAATGGAGACTAATAAAAGATTAAAAACGGTATGTGTAGGGGTTAAAAAATATTTATAGATATTAAAATGCCTAATTTTTTAGTATAGGAATTAAAAAATAAGATTTCTGTATTATAGGATTAAACGAGTAAATAATAATAATAATTTGATACAAATTAATGTAATAAATAGATTGTAAAAGCAAAGTATGAATTAGATTAAGAATGATTGAAAAGCGACGTTCCACCATATTTGATATTCCTCCTTGTTTTGAATGATATTATATTCACACAAATGCACACCTCTTGGTTGTAGGTCTCTTTCTATAGGACGTTAAATAGTTATAGTTATCAAATTTTCTGGTAAAACTTATACCTCATTCCCATTTTATTCATACTTAAAAACTATGCATGCAAGTTATGTGTAAAAAAGTGGACCTTTTAATAAGATAGCGTAAGATGTTGCTAGAAGCAGATTTCAAGAAAAGAAAAATGTTACATCATACTGAACATACCACGGAAAAAAAAATAATAATAATAAAAAAATGCTGCTTTCTACGTTCGGTTCGGATGGGTAATCAAGATCTGGGCTTAGGTACGGGAGTTTAGTCACTCTATTCTCGTGAAATGAAAGTATCGATCTTAGAGACATTATTCTCCATATACCACTACCAATGTTTTTAGTTTTTGCTACTATTGTTTGTGTCTCGGAATGCATATTAACTTTTCCATTTCCCACCAAAGCCCTAATGTTATGGCTACCTTTTTATTAGGTAAAAAGTATATAATTGAAAAAATAAGCTTTATTAAAGATTATGAGTTAAGTTCTTACCTAATTGACAGCTTAATAGGATGGTACAAAATGCAGTAATGTTATTGAACATTGAACAGCTGGTTTGGTCCCAGTAGAGAGGGATGGGGACTCCTCTGCCTCTAGGCCCTCTGGTCTTTAATTGAGATTAATTATGGGACTGAAACTGAAGAGGAATGGTACAAATTAAAAGGACTCAACTTCCAATTGTTGGAGTATTCTCCTAGTTTGATTTCTCATAGAAATAATTATTTATCATATTTTAATTACTTTTTGAGACCATTTTTTAATCTAAAATAAAAGAGAAGGAACTGAAAGAGTGAAAAATAATTAACATGAAATTTTTGTGGGTTTCACCTTGGAATACCAACTTGCCATTCATTTGTCAGTCAAAATCCTAACTTGCATGAAAAAAACTAATCACAAAGATATGGTTTCAAGTCATTAATCAATTATACAGTTAAAATGAAAGAAAAAAAAGTTCATAAATATTTTTTTATTTTATTATTATTATTATTATTATTATTATATTAAATAATTTTAAAATAATATTAATTATGATAAATAAAATAATATTTATTTTTTCTTATTTCTTTCAGATCAAATAATTTTTTTCTAACCTTCTTTTCTTCGTCTATTTCTTTCCTCCGTGGATTTAATAATATAAGGTTATCTTTTGAATTAAAATAAAAAGAGATTGACTATATTTTTTGTTCTAAAAAAATTATTTTATTTAAGAGATGTATGCAATTATAATTAAAAAGAAAAATATTTTGACATACTTTTTTCAGACTTTAAAACACAATATAGAAATGTTATCACTTATTGAAGTTTATTTTGTTTAAAACTTTTTTATAATTAATTTTTTAAAACTAAATTTTGAATAACTTATATTCTAAAAAAAAGTATGAATTTATAAGAATCCAAACAAATATATGGATTTGTAGAAAACATTCAAAATTACACTAATCAATAAAAATAATAAGGTTTGAAAAAAAAACTCAATATAATTTTTTATAGTCATGTAATTATATTTAAATATTTATTTATTTATGAATATATTCTCATTTTTATTATTAATATATATAAAAAATTAAAAGTTATGGTATTTGTTATTTACTAATATTAGAAATTAAATTTAGAATATTATTTTTATTGTTGCTTGGTACATGTTTCTCCCGTTAGTAATATTAGAAACTGTTTTTCTCTTAATCACAAGACTCTTTTTATCTATGAATTCAAATTTAGATGTGGACTTTTCTCAGGTCGATTGTTATCCTATACTTGATTTTCTAGGTAATTGGTATGATTTTTGAAGAGATTTCCGTTATATCTCTGAAAGAAAGATATTCAACAATTAGCCGATCCATATATCGGTCAATACCACAGTTTTCAATGGAAAATTCGCCAAAATAATATTATTCATAAGAAAAACAAGTTATGAAAGTATTACATAACAATATATATGAATGTTTTCGTCAAAAGAGATATACTAGCAGAGAAATTTAAAAGTTTTATAGCAATTTATTAGAGAATGACATGCAAGTTAAAAAATACATTATTTAATTTATATATAATATTACGTTCATTAAATTATGTAAACATAGATAGCAAAGGTTTTATGACAATCCCCTTCAACATGAATGTCAATGCCAACAAGTATGCTAAGCTTGGAAACAATAAAACTAAAGGAACCATACTCCAAGGGCTTCATAAATCTGTTAACTAATGGTTGAGTGGAAGAGATTGGGAGAATATAGAATAGTTTTACATGAAGTTTTTTTTTTCACAAACTACATGACAATCAATATCAATATTAATGTGTTTTGTTATTTCATGAAAAGTTATAAGTCTTGCAGATTGACTGTCACGATAACGTGCAGTCAAAGAGGAAATCTCGATGTCAAGATTTACACTAGAGAGGTTAACCATTATATTTCACATGTGGTGGTGGCAAATGCTCTATATTCCGCTTTAGACGAGAAATGTGATACTATTATCTATTTCTTTATTTTCTAACAAACAAGGTATACAATATCCAGTTGTAGACCATTGTGTATCTAGATAGGTCGTCCAGTCTAAATCGTTGAATCCTTTGAGTTGGATATCAAAGTTTCTAAAAAAGAATAATCCTTGAGCTAATGTATTCTTGATATACCTTAATATGTGATGAGTTGCCTTGAAATGATGGATGATGGGAGCTTGCATGAATTGGCTTAAAAATTAAACAACATAATTGATGTCGAATCTCATATTGGTGAGATAGATTAACCTTCCAACGAGACACTGGTAAGAAACAATGTCTTCAACAAGGGCTCTTTGGTTAAACAAATTCTTTACATCTTTGATCATGGGAGTAGGACATGATTAGAAAGAAAGTATTTCGGTATCAACTAGCATAGGACATATTTCCTCTAACAAATGTGTATTCCTTCACGAGAGTGTGCGAAGAATTTTAGTTATCCTAGATTCTTCACTTTGAATGTCTCATCTAGGTAGTTTGTTATTTATTGTATATCGTAATAAGAATTCCTACATGAATGGTATCGTCTACATATACAAATAATGCTCCATGATTTTAGAAGCTTGCCCACTTGGTTTGGTTTCTCTATTGTTAACCCTGGTGGAGATTTCATATAAATTTCTTCATTCAAATCTTTGTGGGGGAACACAATATTGAAATCTAGTTGTTGTATATGCTAGTTTTGAGTGGCAATAATAGCTACTAAGAGACACACTATGATTAGATTTGCCATTGATGAGAAAGTATTCAGGTAGTCGATTCCTTCAAGTTATGTATATATCCCTTTGCCACTAAGCATGTCTTGTGATGCTTTACCATTAGCTATATCTTTTATCTTATAAACCTATTTACATCAAATAAGTTTTTTACCATGAGACAAATCAATTATACACCAGGTCTTATTCAATTCTAATGCATTGATTTCTTGTTTCATTTCCTCACACCATTATGGTATTTGCTTGGTTTGATCATAGCTTTAATTCTAATGCATTGATTTCTTGTTTCATTTCCTCACACCATTATGGTATTTGCTTGGTTTGATCATAGCTTTGTGGTTCTTCATTAGTGGATGTCGCCAGGGTAAATTGCATTTGTTTCATTGAAAGTTTCTCATAACTTAAAACAAATGATATAGGGTAGATGTTGTTAAGAAAGAAGGCGAAATCAGGTTAATAATAGAATAAATTATAACCCCCCAAAATAACATTTCCTACCATGTGTGAGTAAATAACAAATACAAACTGACTATGTAGGCGGTAATAAAAATTAAGCAGCAAATAAATAGAACCAACTAGAAATAAAATAATAAGAAAAATAATCAATACAAATATTTTACATGGTTCACCCTCTCACAAGGGCTACATCCACGGGACCAACTCCGAAACATTTTATTATCCCCTTCCACAAAATTGTGGGAATACAAAACTTTACACCCAATAAACACTCACTCTATATAAGAGGAAACATGTGTTTTGAGAATTTTGGGATGATTGATTTAGGAGGAGAAG